TTACAAAACGTTCTCAGTGAAGATTGTTGGAGCCTATTTTTATTTCATTAAAAATTAATAGGAAAAAATGTAGTGGGACATGGTGGTAATATACAGGGTGTCCAGAAAAATGTGGGAAGTCACTCGGATTCAGATAGAACATTAAAAATAAGATGACAAGTTCCCATAAATTTTTTTCCTAGCGGCCCTCCATACGTAGATCCGGCCTACAAAAGGACGCAATTGGAAATCAATTTTTCTTGAATAACTTTTAAACTACGTAATATAATTTAATGCAAATTTAATATGATAAACTATAGTAAGAACCTCTTAAAATACTGCCCTTAAAACATAATTAGCTTGTTTAGTTTACCAGGGGCGGACTAGGTTGTACATTTTAATGCTTGCATTTTTAACACCCTATATGATAAGGAGTTAAATTTCGATACCTTGAACATTAAGCTAAAGAGAAGGTACTCTTCTTCATTGTCGATAAAATGAACCGTTTTGGAGAAAAAAAAATATAATAAAACCATCAATGTTTTATTTTTATTAAAAAGAAACCATGATTTCCAATTTTTTTTTGTCTGCAGCAAAGTGTGATACGAAAGTCATTGAAATAGAACTGTTACCAGTATTAAAAAAATGCACTGTTTTTACAAACGTTACTATGGTACCTACAAAATTGACGTATTTTAAATCTTGTTGACACGTTGATCTTTTAGTACTCCGATATTAATTTATTGAATTTTGAATATCTTGGTAAATTTAATTCGATAATGGGATACACATTAAGTGAGTATGCAGATATTCATCTTATATACGGTCTTGCATCTTGCAATGTTTATGAAGCAAATGAGAAAACATTTCAGCGACTTGACCAACGTCTAAGAGAGACTGGTGGGCGATTCCAAGTTAATAAGGTAACATTATTGACTTTCTTTAATCATTTTTAAGAAGTTTTTGGAAAACAAGTACTGATGCTGGTGTGACAAGAACAGTAGGTACGGTGTAATTGGAGGAAAATATTTTGAAAACTGCAGCTGATACTCATTCAATAAGCACTCGAAGATTAGCCGCGCAGCTTCATGTGTCAAAAACGACAATTGCTGAAATACTTAAAGAACAGTTGTTATACCCTTATTATCTGCAAAAAGTACATCAACTACTTTCTGAAGATTTTCCTTGAAGAATCCAGTTCGCAAATTGGCTATTAGATCAGCAACGAACAAACCGAAACTTCATTAGCACTATTCTTTTTAATGATGAAGCAGTGTTTACCAAAAATGGTATTGTAAATTTACATAGCTTGCATGAATGGGCTAATAAAAACCCTCATGCCACTATTGTTCATCATTATCAACATCAGTTCCAATCAATTAATTTTTGGGCAGGAATAATTGGCTTAAACTTTATTTATAGTTCCTTCAGAACGCTTTTCTGTATTCCATAGAGCATTTGCTACTTGAAACTCGCCGAAGCATGTATTTTATACACTTTAGCGTCGCTGTACAGGACACCTAAATAACGTCTATCGAAACCGTTGGATAGGCGAAGGAGGTTAAATTGCCTGGCCTCCACGGTATCCCGACCTAACGCTAATTGATTTTTACCTGTGGGGTCATCTCAAAACCTTGGTGTATTCCTCTCCGTTTTATACTAGGGAGGAACTTTTACAGAGAATCACATTTCATTGTGATGTGAGGAACAATGCTGGGTTGTTATGGCGAGTACAGCAGTCCTTTATTCGTCGGGCCCGCGAGTGTGTCAGACTTCACGGAGCACATGTTGAACCCACTTATAAAGTTTTAAATTGATTATTTCTAATTAGCGTATTTAGGTTCAATCGTTACAAGCTTTAGTGAATTCAGGATGAAAACATAATACTCCAAGTTGTATTTTAGAATATACCAATTTGAAATTAGCTAATTCTGGGAGTTTAATTTTTTAATAAAAATAAAACATTAATTCTTTTATTTTTTTTTTCTCGAAACCGATTCATTTTATCGACAATGAAGAAGAGTATATTTGCTTTAGCCGTATGTTCAAGGTATCGAAATTAATTTTTTTTAACTCCATATCATACAGGGTGTTAAAAATGTAAGCATTAAAATGTACAACCGAGTCCGCCCCTGGTAAACTAAACAAGCTAATTATGTTTTAATTTTAAGAGGTTCTCACTACTGTTTATCCTATTAAATTTTCATTAAATTATATTACGTAGTTTGAAAGTTATTTAAGAAAAATTTATTTCCGGTGGCGTCCTTTTGGAGGTCGTATCTCCATAGGGAGGGCCGCTAGGAAAAAAGTTATGGGAACTTGTTATTTTTTAATGACAAAGGCAACAATTTTTTTTTTATTTTGATTTTAGTAAATATATTTAGGTATTTTGAAATTTTTTGAAAGAGTTACTGAGAATTTTTCTATTATTTTTGTAAAGTTGATTCATCTTTCGTTTATATAATTAAGATTTTATAAAATATTTACATTTCAAATTTAAAAAAGTACATTTTGATATGAATTAAATTGCTGTCCCAGTAGGTACTACTGGGTGGTTCTTATTGGGACAAACGGAGTGTACTGGGATACCTGCTTTTTTCTTTAAACCTTTAAACATTTTGTTCTTAGGGCTAGAGCAGTTCGTGTCGAGATGTTGATACCAAACTGGGTATATGGCTGTATTATCCTATTTATATGAAGATTGTATGAAAAAAATGCGCCTCCATCCCCTAGCCGATATGAAGGTGGTATCGCCCTCAAAAAAGAAAGGGTGGCATCCCCCAAAAATTAAGTTACAATTCTGTATGTAAAATCGTTGAGATTTACGATTTTTTTAAATATATACCCAAAAGTTTTCGACAAAAATTTTCCCTACGAACTGTGACGATTCAGGTCAAAAATGTTTAAAGAGATAAAAACATTTTTGTCGAAAAATGTTAAATTTTGTGAATATATTAATATTCTGAAAAAATCGTGTATATAATTTAAAAAGTTCTAACTAAATTTTTAGAGATGATACCCCCTCCATTATCCTCTATAAGAATGTAGGGGTAAGATTTTTATATAGAAACGTTGTAATTGAGGTCTGGTAAAAATCTATTAAAAATGAGATTTTTATTTCCTCTGTAACAATTTTTAAATGCCAGGCCCCACAACCGAACTATCACGTTCAGGTCCAAACAAATTTTTGGAAAAATATTGTAAAAAAAAATAAAATTTTTGATTTATACGTAGAAAAAATCGTAAATTTCAATTGTTTTCTTGAAAAACTTTTAACTTTATTTTTTGAGGATGACACCCAAATCAGCTATAGGATGGAGAGGCGATTTTTTTTTATGCGATATTTATGGGATAATACAGCCATATACCAAGACTGGTCTGTCGGTACCACGCTCCCCTATTATTTATTTTAAGATTTTTCTTAGTTTTTCATATATTTTGTGCATATTTTTTTTTGACCCAGGGGTCCCCAAAAAATTTCTTGCACCCAGACGACGATGTCTTTTTTCCAATAAAAAATTTAATACTGTAATTATTAGATTACCTAGTTATATTGCTCCGATCAATTTCAATAAAAAATTAAATGCTTCAGTAGAAGAATTGATAAATAATTGAAATTAAAAATTTAATATTCTATTTATTCAATAAATTAAATAATACTCTTTAAAACATTTTAAATTTTAATTTAATTTCACAGTTTAATATGTACCTAATTTTAGTAAATATTATCTTGAATTCAATATTTTAACTATTAATATTGTTAAAATAAATACATTCTAACAGAAGTCACCAAAGAAAATTATCGTAAGATTTTTCCCTCCACATACGTTCAAAATTCCCACTTTTATGAAATCCCGGACCTTTGTGAAATTTCTAAACAAAAAACGTCCTCAGCATCATTTTATAAACCAGGTCATGTCGAGTTTCTAAAAAAAAGCTCCTCAGATTTTATACTAGAAATACAAGTTTGTATCATAAATCTTTTAACAATACTTTAAAAATACGTCAAACAATTAACAAATTTTATTTTTCAAATCATACATTTTTCACATTGTAGACTGAAGTGAAAAATTCCCGTTTTTAGTTAACTTTTCCATTTTTTTCCTTTTTCCCTTTTGTGTTAAAAATTCTCGCAAAACGGGAAATTTCTCTCCGGTGGTGAACACTGTCTTTATTTCTCAGTGGAAGCTGTACCAATCAGTTCATTTATATAATATTACGCAGTAGTTTTTTTTTGAACAATATTATCATCGCTGAGTATGAGAAGGAATTTTGTTTTTGTAGTTGTTGACTTAAACCCCAATGAGTATGTTCGACATTAAACTAGATTTGTATACAGAATTGTTAAGAAAATCTATTGTTTTATTTTCAGGGTATATTTAGGTAGGCACATACAATCACCTCACATGTTTTAGTCTTTATTTTAACAGGGGTAGATGGGTAGATCGTATTTCTGTTGTTTTATATTCCGTCCCAAATATTATATTAACTCCATAATAATCCATCAGACAGATGAAGTAATAACTTCGAAACGAATCGCTAATAAATAACTGTGAGCTGTGAGACAGAAAGGATTAATTTTTCCTTCTTCTTATGTAATCCATAGACTCACATAAGGCTACCATACCTTTAATTTCTTCTAATTCACAAGTAAATTTAGTGCAAGATGATGCATTAAGAAAAATTGCAGAATAAAATAATAAATTAAAGAATGGATTTCAAATTGTAAAAAACAGCTATAATAAGTTGAAATCATTTAAACCCATTTGAAATTAGTTAAAATCAGTCTAAATCAGTCGAAATCAGTTGAAATCAGTTGAAATCAGTGCTACGTTTAAACATCTAAAACATCTAAACATCAATATTCAATAATAACTATAAAACCATAACAACTAACTAACAACTGAGAACCAACTCCTACCTAACGTAGTGCTGAATAAACCAATGCAATTAAATGTAATTTGCAATTATACCACACAATAATTTTCCTTCCTGTTTTCACTAGTTTATTTCTCTTCCAGGCAATGAAGATCCTGTCAAAGAAAAAGCTCTTGAAAAAGGCGGGAATGTTTGGTCGTCTACCTCCAGCACGCAAAGATACTAGATCCAATTCATCGCCAATCAATCACCCTTTCCAAAAAGTGTATAGAGAAATCGCCATTTTGAAAAAACTGGACCATCCTAATGTAGTTAAGCTGGTTGAGGTACTAGACGATCCGGTGGAAGATCATCTTTATTTAGTATTTGAGCTTCTGGATGGTGGGCAGGTATTAGAAATACCGACTGATACTCCACTGGATGAGGATAGAGCGTGGACGTATTTTAGAGACGTAGTGCTGGGCATTGAGTATCGTAAGTAATGATAATAAGAATAAATATTCTAAAATTCCAAACTAACCACGAACATCCCAACATTTGGTAAATTTCCCAAGTACCTTACATTGATAGCTGCCTAATTTCATTAGAGTTGATTTAGACTTAAGATTCTTACTAACCTTCATATTAAATAAGAATCTCCGTTACTGAAGATTTCGATCTTGTCTGGCTATAGTCACCTAGAAGTAACTTAAAATATATTATCAGCAGAATACTGTTCCAATTTTCGATTATTAGTCTACTGCAAATTGTTTTAATCACTCCTAATATTGTGTTACTACTGATACCGCAAACCGTTTCCACAGCAGGTCCCATAAAAAGTATTTGATCTTTTTTCTTGCAAGATTTCTACAATTTCGTTACACGGAACTCAAGTGATAGTAACTGTATTTTCATTGCCTAGCTCATTCACATTTTCTAGGCACCTCCAAATTATTTTTGAGATGATTACGTAAGATCTTGGCGTTTTGATGGTAGCTTAGTTATGAGACTTAATGATAATCTCTGGCATGCGATAATTTTTATCGATGATGAACTTGGTACATTCTCAATAGTGTGAAAGATGGTTGGGTATGTATTCAAACCTTTAGAGTATTTGGTTCTACGCTCATACACTCATATTCCAGTGTCTTCTGAGTTTTGGAACCATCCGTAAAATACTTACTAAAATCTTAGCTCCATATTTCTTACAGCACAGCTTTGAATAGAAGTACGTTATGTTATTTTTCATTAAAAATTTGAAGCATTTCCATTCATTGATAATATGGAAGTGATTCAATGCCCGAACTGCTTAAGCAACAATTTATTAAAAGTGAGTCAATAGAGAACAAAGCACGTTATGTGTGTCTACTAGACATAACTGCCTAATCTTTAGGTAAAGATATGAATGATTTTAAGGAATAGGCAACTTTGGCATGCACAGAAATTGTTTTAAATAATACTCTACGAAGGCAGGATGTTTTGAAATTTTGTTGGTTAGGCAAATCTGGCACCGAATTACTTATGGACTTTTCCTTTTTCTGTACAACAATCACATTAAACCTACTGATTCTATTAAGATGAAACTTGACAGTACTGTCGAAATTTTTACACTGATGATGCCTATCTATACGTGAATTCAGATAGTGGTATGACTAGGTTTAATGCTACATTAACCAGCACAAGCAGTTTAGTTAATTTTGCCTGACAGTAGATTAAAATAGATTTATTTTGGAAATATGAACATATATAATCTCCATTTCCCCCTACGAAATTATGAAAAATACACCCCCACATGTCCAAAGGGGAAATAAATTAAAGAAAAATTGAAAAAGCTAAGAGTTAAAGTAAAGAAAAATAAGTTGTCTTAGCCTCTCCGGTTGGGCTATCGAAGCACATGACTGCAACAGTCGAACTCGTAGATTTAAAGTCAATCTTGGCGACATACACAAATTCTCATGCCATACCGGTTCTCACAATTCTCGTATAGGAGGACGCCACTCTCTGATTGTACTAGAATACATTTCCAAGATCCTTGATTCGTTCACCAGTGTTAAGTTTTCGAGTCCGGTCCGCCGTAAACGTGAAATGGCAAAGAAAAGATCTCAACCGATTTTCTCACTTCATTTTTCTTAGATTAGATTTGGTTAGGAGTGTGGACCATATAGCCTCCCCCACCTCGACCTTTCCAGATTAGTATCTCTTGTCTAGTTTGGTATTTTCTAGTATACTCCATAAACTAGGAAGTAGCTCTTCGGTTGAGTAGATTACCTTGTCTTGTATTCGCAGTAGCACAGTAGTAAAAAGTGCTCTTTTAATAGGTCACTAATAATTTTCCTATTGTGGCTCAGTAGATGATCGGTGAGTATTGATGATGGTACTTTTATTAACTATCTGGTATGTCCTTGTCCTGGTAAATTGTTCCACTATTCCTAAGATTTGCTTAACATTCACTGCTTTTTACATGTTCGGATGGCTATCTTTGTGACATGACAGAAGGGTTTTGGGGCAAAAAACTAGCGTCATATATTGCCTGCTACCTAGTTTAGGGTTAGTCTTTTTCGACTATATTAGTCCTATTAGGGCTTCAAAATAGTCCCATAAAAGCTTTGAGTATATCTGTGTGTGTGTTTGTTTGTTTGTTTGTTTGTTTGTTTGTTTGTTTGTTTGCGTCGAGACCATAATCACAAAATATATAGGCAGGTAGTAACAAGATTATGATCAAGAGAAGCTGTAAATTCATTTAAAAGTAGGGTTGCCAGACATAGGCGCCGGAATTCAAAAATCGCTTTGGGTGCCCGGCTTCTATGCGGAAAATGGTGGCTATCCCCCCCCCCCCCCCCCCACCATCCACAACTCACTTAAAGGCACCACCGGTTTTTTAAAAAGCTATTTTAAAGTTGATTTTATGAAAATTTTCTTAAAAAAAAAGATATTGTCAAATGGCAATTGCTGGATAGGCTCCCACCTAAAACGGGATATCTGGCAACCCTATATGCTCGGTGCAGCCACCACTGGTATTTTGAAGGTATTTTTAAATAGAATATAACCCCCAAATTTTAAATCGCCACTGTCTTCCTAGTCCTTATCTTTTAACGATTTTTATTTTCTGTAAAAGCCTACCAGTTAATCGAGTAAATGCTAGAAATGCTGATTCTGGGCCTCTATGCAATAATAGAGGTTTTGTTCAAAATGCTATCGGACATTTTGAAGCATCTATGGGGTTATTTGATGACATTTATCAATTATCCGTCGTTGTCGCAGATTTTCCAGTGATGTTAACTGGGTGGCATAAATTTTAGTTTTTAAGTGGCCCCATAAAAAATCCAACGGGCTTAGATCCGGAGACTGTGGGGGCTACTCAATACTTCCTCTCCTTCCAATCCTGAAAACCTGGAAACATTTGATCCAAATACTGACGAACAGTGGTGCACCGTCATGGTGGAATATTAATTCTAGTAATGCTGGATAAATAGCGTTTTCTAATAATTCCAGATACATTTCTGCAGTTAAAGTTTCTGGTAAAAAAGGGACCCATTATACGGTTACCAAAAATGATAGCCCAAACATTCAGTTCTTCCGGATGTTGCGTATGTACTTCATGAAATATTCTGAGATTTGAATCAGACCAATAACGACAGTTGTAATGATTTACCGTACCATTAAGAAAAAAAGTGCATTGTCTGAGTAACACACATTGAAAAGAAATTGCTGATCATTTAATAGCCGTTCAGTCATAATTTCACAAAATTGTAATCGCCTATCAAAATCGTCTTCAATAAGTTCTTTTACCAGATGTATTTTATAGGAATAAAACTTTCAATATCTTCTGAATACTACTTTTCTTAATACCAGATGTTATCGCCAACTGTCTTGTACTCAATATGAGTTCATGAACAACATGTCCTAAAATCTCCACCTCTGTAGCTTCATTTACTACAGAATTTTCCATTTCACGTTATTTGTTAGCTACTGACCCCGTTTTCCAAAATGTTAGGACTAACTCCAAAATGTAATTTCGATGGACTTTTGATATTGATCGTTAAACAGTTAGGTAGTTCTATTAGCACATTTATTGTTAGCAAAAAAGTGAAATTATTTGCAACCTCTTAGCAATAGAGTAAACCATTATCACTGATATGCCACTTTTATGCCGACTCTACAACGAAATAAACTAAACCTTACTACTTTACGGCGACCAAAGAATGTCATCTGATAAGAATAATTGAGAGCCACAGGAATAAAAGTAAAATTGTTACAAAGAATTCTTTTTTTTTTTAATAACAATGTAAATATGTTAAACCGGTTTTGTAGTTTTGGTGAGCCACTGTATGGGCTACATAGATAGTAGCGATGTAAAACTCGGGGGTTATTATCTAAGTAAAAATACCTTCAAAATAACATATCATTCGACCAATCTTTCCATTTAAGATATAACTGGTGAGTTTCACCCCCGATAGAGGGTTTCCGCTTAGGGGGTGCAACTGCCAAAACAATGTTCCCCCGTAAAAAACAAATTTGACTGGTCCAAGCGTTTTTTAGTAGATGACCTGGTTTCTCGCCAGCAATACTAGAGAGATGTTTCTAACTATAAATGAACGTTTTTTTCTAACGGTGCTTGATCAGGAGCAACTTTCAAATGTTCTCCCTTTTCCCCTTAAGCATTTGCTTAATGGCATATGTACAAAGATCTTATCTTGATAATTGTAGACCGTTAATAATCTTTCTTTTTTGACGTCATAGGGTTTTATACACCAAAAATAATAAACCCTTAAGTTCAACGCATTGTCTATGACAATTTACGGCGACTTTTTTATCACAAAAAAATATAGCTCCGAGCAATAATATTTTATTGAGGCATCTGACGCTATACCAACTTGGGCCACGACAGCTTCTTCATTTCACTTATTGACACTTTTTGTCCTCGTTGTGCTCTGGGTGCTCCGCACCCTGTTCAAAACTGCTCTGGGTGCTTGCGCACCCGGAGCCCCGGGGATTCGGCGCCTATGTTGCCAGACATCACGTTTTAGGCGTATTTACACGCTTTTTGACTTGCTTGTACGCGCAACGCCACAGTACGAAAATGTCCCGCTTCTGACAAAATGCCAGTCTTTTTATACAAATGCCACGCTTTTTTATATTCAAAGCCGGATTTATATAAAAATATAAGGCGAGAACCTTTTTTTAGAAATTTCATAAAGAATGGACCTGATTATATAAAAATGCTTGGTATTTGAACCTGATGCTCTGTCATCACGGTTGTCACGCTTTTCACTTTCGTAAATGTGGCAACCCTATTTAAAAGTCTGGATGAATTATTCGACAGAGCACACAAGTTTTACTCGATTTGGACTTTTCTAAGGAATAAATAAAAAAAAAACTATTAGATCTCCCAATTACTGGCGAGATTTCTGCTAAAAAATACATCAAACGGAGACAATTTAATATTTGGCTGCTTGTTACGGAATTTTTCCCAATACCCTACAGCACACTTCCGGATTTCTCTGTTTTCTGTTTCCGCGAAACTGGGAAAAGCATCAGATGATATAAAATAATTTAAGGTTGTTTGAAAACTGCGGTTAAAGAAAGAGAGAGGAAATATCAACCACAGAGGGCTAATTTATAATTGTATTGTAATCCTATACTCACAGATGGCAACCTTCATTATTAATTATTTATAATTACTTATCTTTGATGTAAAACAGTAATTATCAAATGACATATACAGGATGATTTTGAAATAGTAATATAGGACGTCCAAAACCGAATTACAAATTTAAATAGAATTACAAATATTTTCCTATTTGCAACCATTATTTTACAAGTGTCTAAAAATAAACAAAAACTGAATAGAAATTTATTTAATTTTTTAATACCAATACAGCAACCAATGACCATCCTTTTTTATTTTAACACACTCCAATCAAAACAAACTGCATCGGAAAACAGTGAATAGTGCAGTGTTGTTACTCAAGCCTGCGAAAGATCAATGTGAAGTGTGTCAAGGTGACAAAAAATGAATAAAAATCGTTTCGGTTGTTCAAATGTACACTGCAAATAAAAAAATTGACATCGCTTTCAACTTCATCTTACGGAAACAAAGCAAAGTTATGTTTATATTGTTAAATAATTTTTCCAAATACCAAGGTGAGAATTTAACATTTTATTGTTTCCTTACAAATAATGCAAATTTAACCAAACATAATCCTCCCAAAATATTGTGAGGAGGATTTTGTTTCGTCAAATTTAGACGCATACCTTCCAAATAAACAACAAAATGGTCTCAAAAAATGCTCACCTCTTGTGGTATTACCCTTGATCAGCTTTCACATAAAAAATTAAATAAAACTCAGGTGTTCTAATAGTGGACGAGGGAAAGAACCAAGTTCTATTTTTTATTTCCTCAAAGTTTAGCTGCCATGTAAATCATATAATAAAGAAAGCATTTAGCAACATCAGGTTAATTTATGCAAATAAGGAAATTCCACCAATTTAAACACGAAAGACGCTTTGTCAAACTCTTTTTCACATCTCAATTATGCTCATTCGAGTAAAATGGAAAATAACCAATTCCAAAAAAAGTACAGAACCTTTACAAGAATGATCTTCGGTCTCCCTAAATTTGATCACATGTTAGACAAATTCAAAGAGCTAAACTGGCTGAATGTAAAGCAACCCTTTCATGTATATTTGTAAGCAAACTAATATAATTCAAAAAATCACTATACTTGTACAATAAAATCACATACAGATCCGCAGGGGTGTGCGGTCCATGGAAGCGGAGGAAGCATCGCTTCCCTACACTTCGAAAATGTACTAACAATTCATTGGGGTAATGTGTAAACGCACGCACCACCAATGAGAAAATTAATTGTGTAAACGCACACATACTTCAAGTAAACCTAAATTTTTCGCCTCTTTAGAAATATTAATATTAACGCCATCCAATTCTAGTTTTAAAAAGCTGTCAATAGTATCTCATTTAGCTTCACTGCAAAACAAAACAGCAGTCATTTTTAATGGGTTAATGGTCAAATTATGATCTTTAGAATACTGCGTAATCAAAATTAGGTCAGTATTGACTGAGTTTGTTGCGTTATTAACGTCAAAAGGATCAAAAATATGTATTACTTTTGTGTCATCAGCATAGAGTTGTAATAAGCTATTATTTATTATTTTAGGTAGGTCTGATGATGTGTATATAAGAAATAGTAATGGGCCCAAAATAGACCCTTGAGGTAAACCTGACACAATATTTTTAGACTTTGAAAGATAATATTGTCCACAGACACTCACTGGGATCGCTTCCATTGGTATGACTTAAAAAAGATATATGGTCGCAACCACAATATTTGAGTTTTGCATACAGCAAATCGTGGTCAATTAAATCAAACGCTTTGGAGTAGTCTAAGCTAACTAAAATGAGACCCATCTTTTTATCCATAGCTCTTATAATATTATCATTTAAATTTAGCATTGTGCTATGACCTTTACGAAAGCCTGATTGTTCGGGAATGGGACGTTTCGGTGTGGCCATTTCGGCGTGACCGTTTTGGCGTGGCCGTTCGGACGTCGGCCATTTCGCCGCCGGCCATTTCGACGTTGGCCATTTCGGCGTTGGTAGTTTTGGCAAACTTAAAAATATAATTTTTATAAATTTTAAATAACTGTTATATTTATTATAATTAGGTTTATTATAATTAAATAATAAAACTGTTTTCGTGTCGAAAGGAAGACTAAAATAAAATGTCTATACCGGGTGTTCAAATTAAAGTGTTACAGCTAAATACCGCCTTTTATAAAAAAAAAAAAAAAACGTTTCAGACGAAAGTTTTATAGTTTTGTGGGGAAAATTTTTAGCTAAAATCGTTTTTATAGCTAACCATAACATGGCCAACTTTATTTTCGCCCAGCAAAATTTTCAAGTAGCTGTTACTCAAAAAGTAAAGACCAATAAAAAAATATTTTTATCGAAAGTTTCTTATTTTTTTATGTACTTCAAGAATATGTATAAAAAAATGGGATTCTCATTTAAAAAAACTAAGTCCACCTCTATATGGCCATATTATGGTCAGCTCTAAAAAAATGAATTTAGCCAAACTGTTTCACCCATAAAACTATAAAAGTTTTGTCTGAAACTTTTTTTCTAAAATGCATATATTTGGCGGTATTTAACTGTAACATTTTAATTTGAACACCCGGTATACTATTGTTGTTCGGCAGGTAGGTCTTCTGCTAGAACATCAAAGGCATAATCTAAATGATCGTAGGAACAAATGCCAAAGATATCACCGTTCTGCCATTTAGAGAGAATTGTAGATCAGCATTGTACTCTCTCGTATGTCCCATAGAAGCCACTTGTTTCCTCATATTTTGGGCCAAGTGAAAAAAACAACCATTTATAGTAACGCCTGTTCGAAATCGCAATATATTATTATACTAATTTTCATATAAAATATTATTTACACTAATATTAATTACACTACTATTATAATTCTGCTATGTACTTGAAAAACAGATTAAAACATTTATCCCATTCCTATGCAATGCCTCACTTATTTCAATACTTTACTTATTTCATAATAAAACTTACAGCGGTTTTAACTTACATACTAAAAAATAGTATTCCCGACGCCGAAACGGCCGACGCCGAAATGGCCAACGGCTATTGTTCACTAGGTAAAATGCTGTTTGCTGAAACATATTCATACAATTGAGAGTATACCACTCTTTTAAGAATTTTAGAGATAACTGGTAATAAGCTAAGATTTACAATAATTAATCGATAATAGCCTGTAAGTGAAGTATTCTTTTTAATAAATAATTTAGCGTAATTACATTAAGTTTATTTACAAGAACATAAGAGTGCAGTCGATATTTATACAACCTCTATTATCAGGTTTTTAAATTTCATTCTGCGTTGTTTGATATCGATAAAAGCGCCACATAGTGAGTCAGATGTTAACTGCGATAAAGCTGGTCGTTGTTAAGCATTTGCTTCTTATGGGCGTTTCCTATCTTTATCTCCCTTATCTCTTACCTAGACCAGATACGAATGTACGCAGCGGCATCTTTGCCGGCTCCCTCACAAAGGCAATGCAGGTTTCGGCTTAAGGTGCGCGTTTGTTGGACCATGATAATAATTTATTTATTGTGATTACGAAAAAAACGTTAGTTGGACCATTGGAATAGTTAAGAAATAAAACTACGAAGAAAAATAACTTTTTTTATAAAGCAGTCAAAAATATGTGGGACAAAATTTTAATTTTTCTTTTGGTTTTGTCTGACTTTTTCGACGATTTCAAATCTCTGTTTGCATATTTAAGAGTATAAAAATTCTGAGTCATATATATAATTTAATGGTGTACATTTTCGCAAATTGTTGGCAAGGGTGACCAAATTCTATTTTGCTCATCTCAAAAAGGTATGCGTTGGAAATTCCAGGCTTAGTTGACAAACTATCAAATAGGGATATATATATTTTTTCTAATTTGAAAATATAAAAGAGAAATTTTTCGCTGGGAAATTTTAAATTGCCAAACACCTTTTCTTCAGAGTCGTATGCTTTAAAATGCGTTAACAAGTTAGAATTGTTAAGTAAATTCCATTTTTCTGAGAAATTTACGCAAATTTCACAAGAGTAGATAGCTAATGATTTTTTGATTAAATAGCCACATAAATAGTTAAATACATTCTAAGTGGTCACATTTAGCTCCCTGTAGTCACATTCAGAAATCGTTATTGCCCCAACTGATTGTTTTAAAATATATTTAATTTTCATTAAGCGGAGAACTTGATTTCCTAAGGGAAAAACGAATCCCGGGATTCCTTCCCAGTGTGTGCCCCACTGCCGCTAGTGCCCACGAGTCGCCACTGTTTAAGCCACTACACACTACTTTTTACCCACTAAAAACTATTCTTTAAGGGTAAAAATTAATTATTTATCAATTAAAACTACCTTTTAAAGGTAAAAAAAATATTTTTTAATTGCAAAAAAATACTTTCTTAATCAGTACCTAATTTTTAACCAATAAAAACCTACTTTTTAACCACAAAAAACTACTTCTTTGTGAGTAAAAGTTTTCTTTTTAACCACTAAAATTAATAAAAACTAAAAAGTTCATTCCAAAAAATTGTAGCATAGTACTTTGGCTGTCGTCTATTTCAATAGTTTTTTTTAAGGGTTAAAACATTTTTTGCTATAACAGCAAAAAATTTCCCTCAGTGTATGTCAATTCCTTATTTAAAAAATTACTCAACTCATGAAGCTTTCTATATATTTTTGGTTTATATTTACATTAATTTTAGATATGTGAACCGGAAAAACGTAGATGTGCACCAGAAGCAATTTTGTTTCCATCTAACGGCTTTTTTTTTTCTTATTATTATCTTATTTTTCCAGTTCACTACCAGAGGATAATCCATCGCGATATCAAGCCGGCAAACTTGCTCCTCAGCGATACGGGCCGCGTTCAAATAGCCGACCTCGGGGTGTGCAATGAGTTCCACGGAGCCGACGCTTTTCTTTCCACCACCGCGGGCACGCCGGCATTCACCGCCCCCGAAGCTTTGAACGAGAAGAGAGAAGCCAGTTTCAGCGGAAAGGTATGCTATTGTGTTTTCTCAATTTCAAAATGAACGAATGAATACATTTAGGTGAGAATGGAAAAGTAAACAATAGTAGAAGCAACTCAAGTAATAACAAAATTGTCTATTTGTCTACGGGTTTTGTTGCTGTTTTTCCAGGAAAATACCTAGAATATTTTCCGCTCTGGTTCAAAATGCAAATGGATGCCTCTTTAATTTATACTATTAACAATTCTGTTTCAACCCAAACATAGTGCGGGAGAAGATAAATACAAAATTAAAATAATCTTATTTAATAACGTTTATTGGGGGGTGGGTTGGCTCAGTGGTTAGAGTCATGACTTTGAGATCGGAAGGTCTCAGGATCGAATCCCACCGTTGGCCGGGATTTTTTCATTTAATTTAATTATTTAAAATTAATTCTGATGCCTTGGTAGGATTCCCCACTCGACCATTCACTGTTGGGTTCTAATTAACAGTGCTGTTCCTAAAGTGGCGCTGGGAAACAGTAACAAAGCCTACACAGAACACGAGGCTAATGGCCGTAGTAGTCGAAGCCGATGACACCATCAACATCAATCAAAAGCATCAATTTAGATCTAGACTATAAAGACACTAAGTAACAAAGTAGTCTTCATGTTTTTAATACCCATCCTCTTTCGGAAAGATCTATGAATTGAATGTTTCTTCTTAAAAACATGAATTAAACAAAGGTTTTGTCATTGCATCCGCTAGGTACAGGTGTTACTGAACATAATTCAATTCCACAACTCTATATTCTACAATTTGACAAATGTAATAATATTTAGGCGATTTTAAATCAGTTACTAGAAATGTGACCAAGTCAAGTGTGGTTAAGGTTCTTACGTCATTATAATGACGTTCTAATAATCTGATTTAAAAATGTTTGGTTTATATTGACACTAACTTTACAATGTGTGTAACATTGGCAGATATCATGAATTTTTATTTGTGTGTTATGTAATAGTAGTAGGATTTGTTTTTGAATTTGTAGGGATAAAAAATAAATATTTTTTTTGTTTACTGATCATGGATGAAGAGAAAATTGGTATTATAGTTACTTTGGCCTCTGAAATTTTATCAAAACTTTAGCCATGTTCATTAATAAATCCTACCTTGAAAATAAATTGGCTTTTCATTAGCAGTAACCTTAAATGCGTCCATATCTAGGTACTCAGCCAGGGTTGAAAGACGTCGCGCTTTAGGCGTAATTGTCCCGCTTTTTAACTTGCTGGCATCTTCGCTGGCACGCGTTACGCCAAAGTACAAAAATGCTCCGCATTTCATCTTATTGCTACGTTTTTTAAATTTAAAGTTATATACAATGATATTTTTGACAATGTTTGACCTGTTTTTGAGAAGCTCAGAAAAAGGAATCTGATGGTTTAAATAAATATAAGCGGAGGACCTTTTTTTAGATCTTTACAAAAAAAGGAGCTTATTTTATAAAAATACCTGTTTTTTTAACCTGATACCCTATCGTCACCATTGTCCCACTTTTCCCTTTCGTAAATCTTTCTTTCTATTTTACAAATAACACAACCAAACAATGATTTAATAATTAAAAAGTAAAAGTTTTACATTTGTCATTTCATTTGACATTTTATACCTGTGATGACCACGTTTTTACTGTAGTCATGTTAAACTTGACTATTTCAAGACAATATTCAATATGACGTCATTGTTTTTGATTTATATCAGTGTAGTCAATCATATTCAAGACATAGTATCTGATTTAAAATCGCCTATAATGATACACTGCAATGTTATACCATGGCAACCAACATTTTTATTTACATACTGGCTAACCGACCGCCGGCGGTGCTTGCATTTGTTGAAAAGAAAACCGTCTCCCGGCGGCATGGTCTTCTTTATACAGGAAAGCCGCCGCAAATCTAAACTGATTTGTTAATCAGCGGCATGCTATCAGTGAATTGAAAATGCCGCCGGGCGACGGTCTACTGTATTTAAAACATTGAATGCCGGTGGTAAGAAAAAATACTTGTAAAATCGTCTACATTTTTGTGGCAAATGATCATATGTCGTTCGCGTTTTATTTGTACATCGGTCTTCTTTTACAGAGTAGATGAGCTGTGAACAGGCCGTTGGTATTTATGCCGGTCGGCGTAGCCAGGTATGAATTGATATTTTATGGTGTCTACGAGAAGTTGTTATTTCGTCTTCTTGTTGTCACGGCATTATTATTATTATTATTATTATTTGTTCATATATGTGAAATTTGCTTCTAAGGTTTATAAAATACTACTGCTAGTTAGGGCGTAAATGAAAACAAACAAGACGCATTCACACAAACGCCTCCCACCACAGCAATTACAAATGATTAGTGTTGTCTCCGATACGCGAGTTTTTTCCGGCGGCATTTAATGTTTCAAATACAGTAGATCGTCGTCCGGCGGCCTTATCAATACTCTGATAGCCTGCCGGCCTCGTCAACAAATAAGTTTAGATTTTCTGCGGCTTTCTTATATGTAAGAAGACCATGCCGCCAGAAGACGGTTTTCGTTTTATTAAATTCAACTACCGCCGGCGGTCGGCTAGCCAGTACGTTTTATTTAATAAAAAAAAAAACAAAATTAAATATCAATTCTAATGCATAGTTAGGATTGCCCAGTCGGCCATTCACTGTTGGGTTCTAATTAACAGTGCTGCTCCTGAAGTGGTGCTGGAAAACAGTAACAAAGTCTACACAGAATGCACTAAGGAGAGACAGACACAAACTGAGACTGGTCGTTTTAGGGATATACACCTAGGCTGTAAAACGAAAAAAAAAATGATGGTGCCAAATCGACTATCAAACGTTTGAGGGGTTAGGTACTTTTTAACCCCCCCGTATTTTTTTTTTTTATAAAGGAACTTGCTTTATTGATCTTGAAATCAAAAAGAACTATGAATTTTTAAATGAACTTTGTATCTTTCTTAGTTAACGAGCTATTTACAATTTTTTAACTGAATTTCTAGAGCAATTCGTCCGTCCTGGACTTAACATATCAACAAAACTAAGAGTAAGTCAGGTGTTATTGTACAAAAAATTCATATAAAAATCAGTGGTGTGCCTAAGGCTGAGCTTGAGTCGCCCCTGCAAAAACTACCTCTTTTATTTATATTTTTATATTCAAGAAGGAGGAGGACATGTTGAACATTTACTAAATTAAATAGTTTATAAAATATGTATAATAATTATTGTCAAGTGTTTATTTTTAATTGTTAATTTTCTGATAATTGTTTAATTAAAAAAATAATTTTTTTAATTAGTATTAAATTTAATAAATACATTTCCAAACTAACGTTTATTTTTATCAGTGGCATGGTGAACCCATGAGGACGGGTGGTACACCATTTTTATGGCGCCAATCCAATATTATAAATATTGGGCCTTCAAATCTACAGCACTGGCAAAAATTTCAAAGAAAAAATCGCAACAGCAAACTTTTTCAAAAAAAAAAAAACGTTATTTTGAATGTTAGTTTAATGCCCTGTAACTTTGTTGAGAGCCAGTTCTTGATATAGGTAAATATAGCCAAATCCACTTATTTTTTGGTAATCTATCTGAGGAAGAATTTACGACATATCTTTTTAAAATACTCTGTATAACTAAATTACCTTTTTGCAACAAAAGTTACAAATATTTAAAATAATTATATCCAGATTAGTATATTTGTAGAATCTAATTTTTATTGTTTTTTGTTCACGGAACCCTTCAGTGACGGGGTCCCGTGGATTATAGTTTAAGAAACGGTTCGCATTAATAAATAAAATTTTACTTTAAAACCCTCTACTTATGAATTAATTTTTTTAAATATATGTACCTCTAAGATTTAAACTATACATGGCGGCTTATTTGTTTGAAGATATTCTATTTTAATAAAAGCAAAAACCACGAAAACCCTTTTGTTCCTCGGTCAAATGTAACCATTCTCGGTATACAATAATTTTAAAACTGTTTTATAAGTTAGATTGTCTCTATGTAGAATATATAAGTTTAATATAAGTTTTGCTGAGATATCCATTACAAGAGACAGTTTAAAATAGTTTCAAATCATAACCAAAATATTGGGGGTTTACAATGACAGAATATAGATCTCATTACAGATGTAGATAAAAAACTTTGTGTTTTAGAAAGGTATAGGTATAGAAAGGTATAATATACCGAAGAACAGAAAGTTTTTTACCCACATCTTTACTGATCTATATTCTTTGTGAACCCCAATATTTTGGACACAAGCCGCCACTGGTTTAAAATAATTTAATTGTTACAGGGTGCTTCACAAATAAATCACAATATGATTTTGCAAACACTCGATAACTACAGTTGCGTCACAGATAAATTATTTTATTTGGCTAATATATTTTTATACAGGGTGAGCCGTCCAGCCAATCACCAAAAGATAATTATGTTTTGAAATTATTAAAAAGACGACCTTGCATTTCTTTAGTGAATTTTGAATAAGTTAATAACATTAAATTAGGTGTGTAACCATAATATTTTAAAATATACATGGTAATCTAACTGTTTCTATTAGAACACCCTGTATAAGAAATGTGTACTGTATAATATTTTAGTACCAAAATACCATATTGTGTAGTATTTTTAAAATTAGGTAATTTTCATTTTTAATTAGAAATAAAAACGTTTTTCTCTATAGGATGGTTTTAAATTATTGTACAGTAAAATCTTTTGGTGGTCGCATGACATGCGACATGACTCACTAGTTAATTTATGAATGTGTGTTTGCTTCTTCACTTAAGTATAAATCACCCTGTAAATAAACATATTTTCAAAGTAAGGAACATAAAGTTACCTACGTGCTGATCATGAATATTGCCAGTAATATTTGCCAACGCATTCGCCAACGTGAAGAGGAGCCTTATTAAGACTAATCAGTCTTAAAATAATGTGTATTAATAATATTAATTTCAATGCAACATTTTGTGAGGTAAAATACAATAAGTTATTTTTGTTACAATAATTTTATACA